GAAGGAAGGAAGGAAGGAAGGAAGGAAGGAAGGAAGGAAGGAAGGAAAAATAAAAACAGTTGATATTCCCCTTTAAAATAAATCTTATATTTATGTTTTTTAGATTTATGATGTATTTAAACTGCTGTATTTTTAGGAATCTGGGGTATAGGTGTTGCAACTCAGAAAGTTAACTTGAACCAGATCCCTCTTGGCCGAGACACACATAGCCTGGTGATGAGAAATGACGGAGCCCTGTACCACAACAACGAAGAGAAGAACAGGCTGCCGGCAAACAGCCTTCCTCAGGAGGGAGATGTGGTGGTGAGTCTCCTGGGAGAGTTGTTGTCACTGTAAATTATGAAACCTGAGCTGTTCTGAGTAGACATGGTTTGCATGGCAGGTTGTAACTTTTATTCCAAAGCCCTGGGATTGGTTCTAATGAGGTGGTACCATTCTCAGAGAGAATGCTTGCTGAATACTGCTGCTCATTTCACTGTTCTGTCCTTCTGGAATTTCTTGCAGACCAGGACATGAGGATGACTGATCCTATGCAAGACCATTTTTAGGTTGACTGCTAAACAATACACTACTGTCACAGAGACCTTCTGATCATATTAGAGGATATTAGGTATTTTTGAGGCCAGAGATCTCTCAAAATATTTCACATTTATTAATGTTAGGAACCTATTAGAAATTATAGCATTCTGTTACAAGTGTTGATCTTTGTGAAATCCAATAAAAAATGCCTCTACTTTCAGAACCCTTTAAAGAATTGGGCTCAAAACTCTTCAGGGTTAGAACAGAGCATGGTGACACATGCTTTTAATCCCAGCAACTGAGGAGACAGAGGCAGGGGCATCTCTATGAGTTTGAGGACAGCCTAGTCTATATAGTGAGTTCCAGACCAATTGGGCACACAGTGAGACCTTGTCCAAAAAACAATCTCAAAGCTCGCTTATGAAAGTTTTTTTTTTTTTAATTTCAGTTTTGGTTATTGTTGGTGCTGGTAGTTTTTTTTAAGTTCCAGGACAGCTTGGGCTATATATATAGCAAGATCCTGTCTTAAAAGAGGAATAAGGTTAGTTGCTAAAGTAAAAGAGACAAAAGGCATAAACTATTGTAAAATCTCTCTCTCTGTCTCTCTCTGTCTCTCTCTCTGTCTCTCTCTCTCTCTCTCTCTCTCTGTCTCTGTCTCTCTCTCTCTGTCTTTTTTTGTCAACTTGACACAAGCTTGAGTCATCTGGGAAGAGAAAGCCTCAATTAGGAAAATATTTCTGTCAGATCAGTCTGCGGGGCATTTTCTTGATTAGTGGTTGATATATAAGGGTCCAACCCACTGTGGATGGTGGTGCCCCAACACAAGTGGTCCTAGGTCATATAAAAACACATGCTGAGTGAGCCATGGAGAACAACCCATTAGCAGCACTTCTCCGAGCCCCTGCTTCAGTTTCTGCCTCCAGGTTCCACTGTGAATTCCTGCCCTGGCTTCCCTTTATGGATGAAGTGTAAGCTGTAAGATGAAATAAACCTTTCCTCTTCAAGTTGCTTTTGGTCATGGTGTTTATCAGAGTAATAAAAAGCAAACCAAGACTACTTGATTTTTTATACTGGGTCATTGCCAGATATCCATAATATGGTGCATCCTTACATAAATAATTTCTTGGGCAGGGTCTCACTATACAGCCCTAGCAGGCCTGAAACTCACTGTGTAGAACAGGCTAACCTAGAAATCACAGAGGTCCACCTGCCTCTGCCTTCTGAGTACTGGCATCAAAGAAGTGTGCCACCATGCCCAGCTAACTGAATATTTCTTTTTTTTTTTTTTTCTGGTTTTTCGAGACAGGGTTTCTCTGTGTAGCCATGGCTGTCCTGGAACTCACTCTGTAGACCAGGCTGGCTTCAAACTCAGAAATCCGCCTGCCTCTGCCTCCCAAGTGCTGGGATTAAAGGTGTGCGCAACCACTGCCTGGCTAACTGACTATTTCTTAAGAGAGAATTTTGCTGTTATGTTGAGACTGTCAACCTGTTTATAATAAAAGATAAAATTGAAACATGTTTCCTTCATTGTAGTACTGAACTTATACGTATTTTGCCTTGCTGTCCCATCTCATTCATTGAGATGACTAATACCACAAGTTGACAAATCTAAGAATGCCACTTTTAGTCTATCAACATTATTAATATTAAATTGGACTTTAAGTTTTTATGCCAATTCTGATAGTTTAAAAAAAAGACCTAAAATATTACATATAAGGAGAATCAAGAAAGCTGTTCACATCATCTTCCTGATTTGAACACTCGCAATAAGCTTTTCAAAGCTGGCAGCAGTGGCAGAGGAGGATCTGACTATAAGACAGGAAGCTATCCTTGTGTTGAATGTTGTGGCTGCAGCAGACTCAGGTTTTTACATCATATAAAAGGCAGGCTAGGTTGGAACACTACTTGAACTGAACTTGGCTAGAGGAGGTGGGGATTCTTACATCCTTCCAGTTTTTATTTAGTTTTGTTATCCTGGTAAATGCCCCATTTATGACTTGTCTTGCAGTGGATTATGGTGCCACAGGTGGTGAAGGGAGCCTGGACTCAGTCCCATAAAGAGGATCAATACGTTCTTTTTATGAAATTATGTTTGGATTTTTAAAAAAATGAAAACAGACCTCTTTACTAAAAATGTAACAAGTACATTTTTAGTGCTTTTAAACTAAAATGAAACAGAAGCCATCACTAAGTCATTGTTTAAGCTAGGATTGATGGGTCACACTTGTAATCACAGGACTGGAGAGTCAGAAATAAGAGGATCACCTCAAATTCAAGGCCAGCCTGAGCTCTATATACTGAGTTTCAGCCCATCCAGAGCTACTGGGTAAGACTGTGCCTCATATCAATCATTTAGTGTTTGTTTATTGAGAGAGGGCCTTATGTAGCCCAGGCTGGCCTCAGACTTGCTAAGTAGCTGTATTTGATGATCTTTAGCTTCTGGGGTCTTGCCTTTCCCCAAGTTCTAGACTTACCGGCATACTACCACATCCAGTTCCAGGGGTGCTGGGGATCAAACTCAGAGCTTTGGGCATGCTGGAAAGCTCCCTGCCAGCTGAGCTGCATTCCCAGTCCCCAAGCTACCATTTAACTGCAGCTTTGCTAAAAATTGAGAAATCCTTTATAGCCCTTACACATTGACTCTCCTGAACCTTTGCTGAGAAGGAAAGTTGAGGCTAGGTAATGCTTATGAAGTTGTTCTAGAAAGCATCTGAGTCAGTCCATTGTTATAGTTGACCCACATCCGTGATTCAGAGACCCATAGAAGCAGTTTGCTCCTTGTTGGTTTCTTTTTTGTTGTTTGTTTGTGGCTTATCATTTGGAAGAGCTCTCTGGCTTCTATTCTTACTTTTTAAAAATGACTTCTTATTGTGCTGTGTCTCACATATACTAGGCTGGTCTGCAGCCCATGGTGTTTCTAGTCTTCATTCTTCAAGAGAGAGACCTGGCTTTGCACTAGTTAGTAACCATAGGTCTGAAATGCTTAAAACTAGGAAAGTTTCCAACTTCAGGGTTTTGTTTGATGATTGAAAATATATATATATATATATATATATATATATATATATATATATATATA